GGGTATGAACTCACCAAACGAGAAATGTGGCGATTTGGATGTTAAGAGTTGATCCGGGGCTTTTAAACACACGACGTTCCTAATTATGATGTGAAGATACACATTTGTATTTAATTAGAACTTAGATTGATTGTTGGATAGGGACAATTGTTTCTAGTCGCGATAACACTCCGATACAAGTGTTTGGAGGGATCCGGGTGGCGTTTAAGGACGAGAATTGAAGCGAGGGACTTGGGACTTGAGTTTAATCCCCATGAATAAACTTATACAAGAGTTTTTGGTCCTACACACCCATTCCCCATGAGTTTACGGACGTAAACTCATGGTGGGGTGGTTTATGGTGCAAATTTGGGTCATAAATGGATATGGATACTTGGAAATGCTTGGATAAATTTTACTTAAGGCTTGGATTGAATTAAAAACATCATTTACAATACTTAAGGGAGTTTATGGCCTAGGCATGGGATCTTTGGCCGCAAACTCGCAAATCCCCTTGATTTAGTGTTTTTAAGGTGTTAAAATTAATCACATGTGATTCTAAAAATTCCCACAAGCCTAGAAATGAGTTTAGGGCACCATTGGACACCCTTTTATGAGTTTACGGATATGAGACATGTTCTATGGCCGTAAAATCTCAAATGTGGGGTTTTGATGTTTGTAAAGCCCAAAAAACTATTTTTGGTTGGTCCTTTGATTTATTCCAAGGCTTTTGGTGGTGTTGGATGGCTTTCTAACACCCTAGAAATGGATTTGCACCATGTTTTATGGAGTTTACGGCCCAAGCAAAAGCCTTGGCCGTAAACTCACAATAATTCTCCAAAATTGATGTTTCAAGTGTCCAAATGCAAAGATCTATGTTCTATAATTCATAACTAAGACATATGAGTGGTTTGGAAGGGTTTAAGGGCATGAAAACCCTAGATATATGAGTTTACGGCCCAAGAATGATCCTTGGCCATAAACTCCTTCAAACTTCACAAAATTCATGTTTTAAATGTTTAGAGTCCATATCTTGAAGTCATTTAGCCATATCTAAGTCCCAAAGTTATCAAGGAGGGGTTTAAGGGCTCAAAAACCCACTTATTGTGAGTTTACGGCCCATGAATGCTCCATGGCCGTAAACTCATGAATGTGGTCACAAATCATGTTTTGAATTCGAATTTGAAGGCTAAGAAGGTTACAATACAAGCTAAGGAAAGTACCTTAGAGATTTGAAGCCTTAAATTTGAGTTGTGGACCCTTAAACTTGGATTTAGGAGAGAGGTTAGAGAGAGAGTAGAGAGAGAGAAGGAAAAAGCTTCAAATGGATGTTAAAACACGTTTATATAGGTCTTAAAACTTATACGCGGTGGAATTCTACCCGATACCAACGTTATACGCGGCTTTTGGTCGCACCCGATTAAGTTTCCGTCACCCGACGGAGGCATTTCTAAAACTTATGAAAATAATGATTTTGGGCTAAATACATGAGTTCCTGAGTGATTTAGACACTCATTAAATTAAAATAAACATATAAGTTTAAATAATGTGACCCAAAGTGTAAACGGAACGGATTTGATAACGGCGACTTTTCGGGTAGAACGGGTTTTGGCGACGAAACATTTCGGGTTGTTACAGCATGCATGATCAATATCCTTACTACGCCCATCGTACACCATTGTACACCTCGCGTACTAGCCTTTGCACGAGTACACCATGCGTACACATGTGTACCCCCCACATAATTGCTTTAACCCTAAAACCATGAATCTTCCGAACATCATAACTTCTTCGTTATAAGTTCATTTCCGACGATCCTTATATCCACAAAGAGGTAACGAGAAGTTTTACACTTTTATCAACTCATACTTAACATAAAACTTCTTGAACAAAAATTCAATTTTCGTTACAACCTTCTTTGACACTTTACCGAAATACACATTGGCTCCAAAACACAAACCAAACTCCCAAATCATCCAAATTACATTACCCACACCCAAATGAGTCGAAATCTCTTTCCCTCAAAGTCCCTAAGACTGATGATACGCGGTCTTCAGGTCACCAACTCGCATTAGAAAACAATGTGGAATAAGGTGTTACAGGGACAGTGTGTTATGTGAGGACTAGTATGTTGTAGTGAGTTGTATGATTGATGTTTGTCTGTATTATATGCCTACTTGATCCTTTATTGTTTATATGCCGACATATGGTGGTAGTAGGTTGAGGCAATCATACTTTGTGTTGTAGGCCAAGAGACCCGGTGCAGGCCAGCTGTAAGTCGTAGGCACGAAGGCTCGGGAAGAGCGGTTAGGTTGACAAGGTAGGAAAACAAACCCTAGGTATTCCAGCCCGATAGCTAATTGGACATGTTGCATGTTGGCAATCCAGACTGAGGACTGATTGGATCTCGGCATTCCAGTGTGATGATTGTGGGTCGTTATGCATGCTTGTATGTTTATGGTATGAGATATTTTAGAGGAAAATCACTAAACTTTGTGCTTACACAGTTGTTTATATTTTTTAGGTTTTATCGGTAATCGTGGGAAGGCGAATGCGAGACTCTACACACTCATCAGCAACATTGAGAATTTCGCGTCCACTATAATACTCTGATTTTGAATAAATGTATTTTGGAATAAACAGGTTTTTAATAATGAATTTATAATTAGGAACTTTTACTTAATAAAATGAAACAAAAAATTATGAAAATGAGACGTTACAACATGTTTGTTTGTGTTGGACCTTAGCTTTTAACGTCTTCTTTTGTGATTTCAATGATTTGTATAAATAAAAGATGTGAATCGTTTTATGTTTTGTGTAGACACCTGGATCTGTAAATTGTTATGATGAGGTTTTTTGACACTCTTGAAGATATAACCCAACATGTCTCTTGGGTTTTAGCTTAAAGAATAATATTTCTTGGTTTTTCGGAATTTTTAAACGGGTATTGAAAGGTTAGCTTTAATTTTTTTTTCTTATTCACTATACAAAGTACTAGGGGTGATAAATCGAACCATCGTGTCGTGTTTTTATCTAGCTCAACACGACATGACAAAACAAGATTTTATGTAACACGAACACGACAGAACACGATATTGTGTTTTTTTTAATTAACACGAAAACGAACCTATTAAAAAACGACAAACACGACACAACACGACAAAGATAACATAATAAAAAAAATAGTTTATTTAATTAATATTTAATCATAGATAACACGACAAACACGAAAAACACGACAAAAAATGCTAATCGTGTCAATTTCGTGTTAGACTTTAAACACGAACACGAAACGACATGACACCGTGTTTTTTACACTTAACACAAACACGACACGAACACAAATTCGAATTTCAGTTTCATCCCAATTTCGTTTTATTTCGTGTATTTTTTTTCCTGTCGTGTCAACAATTATCACCTATACAAAGTACCCAAGAAACATGGAATTTTAACGCTTATGTGGTTATCACACACATGTTTAAAAAAGCCATTTTTGAATTACGGATCTTTAACCTGTTTAAAATAGCACTTTTAGTGTTTTATCGATCAATTTTGGTACAACGTAAACCATCAATCTTTGGTTCAATCTATAATCAAGGTACATGTTTTATATAAATTAGACTAAATTGCAAAGTAGTCCTTATTTCGACCTTCCATACCATTTATGGCCCTGAAATATTGAAAGAGGGAGCAAAATTGATGCGAAACCTTGAACTATCGATCCAAAATGAGAAAATCCTAGAAAAAACTTCAAATATCGACGAAAAAAAAAAAACATCGACTACACAATAAAAGTAAAAAGTAGTGATTGTTTTTGTAGTTTACTCTATAAACGATCAATACCTCATAACATAAATCTTTAGTTTTTATTATCATCAAATTTCTTTGACTAAGTTTTAGACTCCGAAATGTTTGGGACATGTTGATGAGGTTGTGAATGATTACCGCTGCCTCTTTAAAATAATTCTCACCTGTTAATTTTATTATTATTTTTTTCTTTATGTATATAGTTACAAGTTTGAGCTTCCTAAAAATATGTGCAATTTACCTTTTTTTTTTTTTTTTTTTTTTTAAATTGTGATTGCAGTGATACTCCATTTGGCTATTCTAGATGGCCAATATGATTTACAAATTTGACTTTTCGATTCACAAATTTGAATTTTGGTAAAGGTTTTGACAGCCATGTAACAAGCAAAGATAATCTCATCCAGTACTATTCTACTATTTTACTCTTATTTAGGCTTCATTTGCATTAGTTTTTAACTATTCTATGCAAATTAATTTTCAGTGGTGGGCCCTATCGGTATTGATAAGTGTAAGTACATTAGAAAATGTTTGAAGAAGTTGCTTGTTACGTGAAGTCCATGCAATTGAAATGACATTTCTCTCACGAGGCCATTCAGGATTCTTTTCCGGTTCAACTTTTTTTTTCCTAAAATTAATGGTTTTAATTTTTTTAATAATCTTTTGTTTATGTTACAAGTATTGGTTGACATCCTTTCCTAATCTACAAACACAGGTCCTTGGATAGAATATATATGACCCATATTTATAGTAAGAGTAAAATAAATAAGTTCATATTCGGTTTTTTTATTTCCTTGTTTAATTTGACCAAATAGAAATAGATAACAAAATGGGTCTACAAAGATGAGATAAAAAAGGATATTTTCAACGGAAAACATGTTAGAGAACGAAGTAAAAAAAGAGGTGCAAAAACAAGGATTTCTTAAGGCTTCAAAAACAACAAAAATAATAGAAGTAGACATTAAATTTCTCCTAATTTAACGACTAGCCCTTGAATGTTTTACAGACTCCTCCATAAAATGTAATCCTCCATCGCATATATATAAGTCAGCAAAACATTCACTTTCCTCAACTTTTCTTCTCCTTCTTCTTCCTCCATCAAATTTTGCTCTTGGAGAGGAAGAAGGGAAGATCTGTCCAAAATTTTCACATTTTTCGAGTTGAACTGTGATTGTTTCTTAAGAATAAAGTGAATCATATAAACGTAACCGGTCAAAATGAATGATTTGTTCTCCCAATCGTTTAAGCAATATCAAGATAAAGATATCGACTTGGAGGCTGGTGGGGCCCCCGATGGGGACTCAGCCGAACTTGACAATTTCTTCGAAGATGTCGAGAATGTCAAGAAAGACATGGCCGGAATAGAGAAACTCTACAAAAGCCTACAAGAAGCCAATGAGGAAAGCAAAACTGTCCATAATGCAAATGCCATGAAAAACCTTCGATCAAAAATGGATTCAGATGTGTCACAAGTGTTGAAACGTGTGAGAGTCATCAAAGGAAAGATCGAAGCTCTTGACAAGGCGAACATCGCAAATCGAAAGCTTCCTGGATGTGGGCCCGGCTCCTCAGCTGATAGAACTCGTACAGCTGTTGTCAGTGGTTTAGGGAAGAAGCTAAAGTCCATGATGGACGACTTTCAATCGTTGAGAACCCGTATGAATGAAGAGTATAAGGAGACTGTGGGTAGACGTTATTTCACAATCACAGGAGAAAAAGCTAACGATGAATTGATTGAAAACCTAATCTCTAGTGGTGAAGGTGAAGATTTCATGCAAAAAGCTATTCAAGATCAAGGTCGTGGACAGATTATGGACACGATTTCCGAAATCCAAGAAAGACATGATTCTGTTAAGGAAATAGAGAAAAACTTGATGGAACTCCATCAAATTTTCTTGGATATGGCTGCATTAGTAGATTCTCAAGGGCAACAACTGAACGACATTGAAAGCCACGTGGCCCATGCAAGTTCATTTGTGCACCGAGGGACTGAACAATTGGTTGAGGCAAGAGAGCTGCAAAAGAACTCGAGAAAATGTGCCATGATCGCCTTCTTCCTTGTCCTTCTTCTTCTGATAATGATAACTTACCCCATTTGGTTCCCGATGTTGATAGGGTAAAGTGGAAATGGGTAGAAGAAGTCATTTGTGTTTCGAAGATTTTGTTCTTCGCTGTTACGCCCTGAAAACAATTTATGTTTGTGCTTTACACTTTCTAAAGAGATGTATGATAGTAGACATCAATTTTTTATTCAATCTGGATATGAACACCAGATGTATTGTAACTCGCACAAAATGAAGAATTACTCAAAAATATGATCAATCTAATGGAAAAGGATTTTTTCATGATACTTATCATTTTGAAAACCAATTCATTTATATATATGCACATACATATATGTATATCAATACTAGAAAGAGATTGGTGTGTTCCTGAGATCTTTCTCTAGAGAGAATTAGAGAGAAGGGAAATGAAGATATGTGCTTATATATCTTCTCTCCTAATCTTCATCCCAAATTGGGAGGATTTGGAGAGAAAGGATACCGATGCTAATATAAATTTATCATATTTACTTAATTACCCTTGTAAACATAATATAAACCCATCACGTATCTCCATCACTTCCTACAAAATCAAGTTAATTCAACCTGTTGCCACCATGATTCGTCCCTGCCACATACTTCTTGAATTTTGATTTTACTTTTTGAACATATATTTCTAGTATTTGCCCATATGTTGATTTGTGTCGACCATTTAGCCACATGTTTGTGGTTTTAATATGCAAGATTATTCAAACATCATTTATCTCCTTTTGTAGGTACTTCTTTATAACATCATTTATTGTTACTTTGAGGGTATTGGTTATGATCTTAGACGATATGTGGTATTTGACTAAACATCTATGTATATGTATAAAATTACAATGAATTATTCATCTATTTTTTTATTAATTAAATTTAAAGGACTTTGTGAATGAGTGCTTTATGCATGAACAACCTACGGTAGCGTTACTAAGTAATTTCTTGACTTTCTGCAATATCGCAGATATCAAAATTCTCTGCACTAAAACAAGAAAAATGCTAACTAGAGATTAAATTGTAAAGTTGGTGTTTTCGGTTCTTTTTCTTCCGACTCGGGAACACTATCATAGAGTTTTAGTGGCGAAAAATATCGTCACTAAAGCTCTCTGTTGTCGCTATTGGTATCGTCGCTAAAGGCTGAATGATACCGATCCGCTCTTTAACGTTCTAGCAAACACGAATTGTCCAATCGTGGTTCTAATCCAACTGCTAGGGTGCTCGTGGAACGCATAAATGAAATACAGGCGACTTTTGTCGCCGCTGAAGATCCAAAATAGTCGCCACTAAAGATAAAAAAAATGACGCGGTAATAATTACCTCCTGATAGTCGCCGCTATTGATAGTTGTCTCCGCTAAAACCCAATTTGTCTCCGGTAAACGTGTCGCCGCTAAAATCCGATGCGGTTAACCCCAAAAAACTTGATCTTTTTAATTTTGCTCTTTCTGTTTTACTCCCTTCGCCTGTTTCTCTTCTCTCGCATGCATCTTACTTCGTCGATTATTGTCAGATACCAGTGAGAATTATCAATTTTGGGTGTGTGAAATTGTCCACAAAGAAGATACACCGGTGGAGAAAGATTTTTCGGTGAGGACCAAGCTTTTCCAGCAACACCAAGCTATTTCCAGATCAATTTTCGGTCTCTTTTCTCTTGTAACATGGATTTTAAGCTTATTGGAGTGGTTAATTGTAAAAATTGTCAAATTCAGTTTTGTTAATTGTGTTACTATGTTCCCGACCACCACCCGCGACTACCGCCACCACTCGACCATTTTCATTGATTTCCGCCACCACAGGTTCTATTTACTTTTATTTATTGTGATATTTTAGTTTAATTGCAAAATATCTACTTCTTTAATTAAATCAATAATATGGTAAAAGGTTAGTAAGTTGATACTTTGGTTTTTTGTCTTAGTTTAAAAGCTTTGGTAATTAGTTTGTCCCAAGTGTAACAAATAGCAATGTACTTTGGTTTTTTGTCTTAGTTTAAAAATAACGATGTACTTTGGTATCATAAAATGCATGTTGATTCGGTCATTTTGGTTTTGTGGTGATTATTTGCTAAAAGTTTGGTAATTCGGTTTTTGTCCAAAGTTTAATAAATAACAATGTACTTTGGTTATTTGGCTTAGTTTAAAAATAGAAATGTAGTTTGGTATCATAAAATGTATGTTGATTTAGTCATTTTGGTTTTTGGTGAGTATTTGCTAAAAGCTTTGGTATTTATGTTTTTGTCCTGTATGCAGGAAGCAACAATGCACTTTGCTTTTTTGTCTTAGTTTAAAAAATAGCAATGTACTTTGGCGTCATAAAATGCATGTGGATTTGGTAATTGTGTTTTTGTCCCTAGTTGGAAAATTTAACTTATAATTTATATATGTTGTTATTTATTATGTAGTTGGAAAATCTTCGGGCATCGCTCAACGACCCGGCATGTAGAGAGGAGCTTTATTCGTTTTTTTCAATCATAGAATAATCAAGGAGGAAATGATGGGAACGAAGATGATGATATGTAGGGAGGAGATTTATGTGTATGGTATACTTGTCACACTTTGCTATTTGTTAGAATTGTAAAATTTACTTTGCTACTTGTTTGAATTATTAAACTTTTGGTTGATTTATTTTGGTATTAAATTAATTATAACAATATTTGGTATTTAATTTGATGTTGTTATGTAATTTTTGGTATAGAATTAATTATAACATTATTTGGAATGAATTATACCCAAAATCGCAAATATATATAAAAAAAATGAAAAACATTATTACCGACGACATTATTACAGGCGACATGGATATTACCGGCGACATTCTCTTTAGCGGCGACACGAAGTATTAACGATGACATTTGTCTTTAGCGGCGGCAACAATCTGATCAATAGCAACGAAGCAGTAGCAGCGACTTTTTACCGGCGACGTGTCGTCACTATTAGCTTTAGTGGCGACTTCACGACCCTTTACCGGCGACTTTTGTCGCCGCTAATTGCTCATTTCCTTGTAGTGGAATACATTTTTTTAACTTTCCTTTCATTTCCTTTGAACTCAGGAACATGAAAAAAATTCTTTGCTCTTCCCTTCCTTTTCTTTTCCTTGCTCTTTCTTTTCTTTCCTCCACTAAATATGAGGAACTAGGTGTAAGCCTAAGAGAATCCACAATGCATTCAATTTCATAGAGTTCGATTGATTGTCATGCACTTCTTTTACATTCCATACAACCATATCAATTTTTTTTTTGTAATACATTAAAATCTACAAAGTTAAATAGAAAATTACAAAAACTAATTTATAGTATTTATTTAAGAATTAAAATTTTTTCTTTTTTTCATTTAAGAGGTTAATGAACATTGAACTACAAATCCATTGAATGTCAATGTAACATCTCATTATGGTAGTGTTTAATCCACTAAATGTCAAATAGATTTGTCACATCATTCAACTATCTTGTTGAATTATTCAACTCTCCCATTGAATTTACCATTGTTGATGCTCTAAGGGATATGATAAGTGCATTTTCATTAGAAGTGTCATAACTGCACCACATACGTGCCACGTCATCTTCACTAGTTGTTCACTAACACACTACTACCTCATGGAAATGGTAATCACTCCATATTATTTATCTTTTTATTTTTTATTTTTTTGACATTAAATTAAACAAAAAGCATAATTTTTAAACATAAACAAATCCCTTACAAATAAAAAAAAAATACATTTTACTAAAAAAAATCATTAAATTAAAAACCTCATTATAAATTTAAAACCTACGTAATTTAAAAAACATAAAAACATAGAAATATAAACCTACATTGCTAAAATCATAGAAAATTTAAACCTACATTACTAAAAAACATAAATATTAAAAACCTTAGAACCTAATTGTCAAATATCTTGCGGACTTTTCATTGAATTTTTTAAATATGTTGCTAGAGTTTCCGGGTAGAGATTTGGTTGAGACTTTCTGTTTATAACTTAAAGATCAGTAAGTGCTATGTTTTGGCGACAACCTTTCTTTATTTTTTGATATTTTTTCGAGAAAAAAGTAGATTTTTGTCTAATTTTTTCCGAAAGTACTTCGTTGGTGCTTGTTTTTCCGGATGAAGATGTCACCCGTTTCCCATTGTCCCTTCACGGTGATCGATGAAGGTGGACTTTCGGTGGACTTACCCCCTCAATGTTGTGGAAGTTATCATTAGGTTGAGGCCAAAATGCACATCCAACTCAGAAGTTCTTGGCCTTTTGTTGGAGTTGATGGTCGATTCCGAATGTGCCGTCTCCAGATTAAGGAACCATTTTGGACTTGCACCACAAGCATTCAATGCTTTTTGGTGGCTGAATGCTTTACCGTCGTTGGAAAGCTTCTATTGGTAGCATATGGTTGAAAAAATATTAAAATTGTTTCTACCACTTTTGTGTATATATTTTAGATTTTCAAATATGTCATTATATTTGGTGCAAGTCGCTCGTATGTCACACCATTTTCCATCGGCCGCATCATACATCTAATTTGTTTGCATTCCTAATAGCATATTAAAGTGGTCTAAAAAACGATTCCAAACACTTTTTCTAGATTGCGTGTTCCTGGTTTGCGGATCTTGCAATATGAAAATCCAATCTTTCACTAAAGCTTCCTCATCTTTTTCGCTCCAAACCTGAGTTTTTTGTTTTTTGTTTTTTAAACTATTTTCTTTCTTTTGTCTTCTTCTATTTCATCGTTCACTTTCTTAGACCCCTTTGTCGTCATCATCATTGTTGAGGTTTATAGGTTGGGATTAAGAATATGAGGCTTGAGATGGTTATGTTGGAAATTCTTGAGGTTGAGAAGGTTAAGATTGAAATTGTAGAGGTTGAGAAGGTTGTTGTTGAAACACTTGGAATTGGGGTTGATTGAATTGTTCTAGTATTTTTGTTGGTAGTGGTTTGGGGGTATGGAAAGTTGGTGAATGGAGTTTGTTATTGAATTAGGGATGTCAACATTTGCATGTATACAACATGTGCATATCGATCATTTTGTGTGTTTGGGGTGGCTAGGGTGTTTGGAGTG